CGCCACCCTTGCCTTTTGCATCATCGCCCTTCTGAGAGCACCAATGCCACGCGCTATCCTTCTTGTCCTCCGCGTAAGCACGGGCATCACCAGCCTTCTCGGAAGTATGGAGCGAATGGCCACTCAGGAGCTAACGAGAAGTCAGTTTGAACGAGGAGGCAGTCGCATATAAACCTACCTCGAGTATTCTGGCCAATCTATCCTCCACTGCGCCTACGCTACTGTCGACAATCTCCTTTAGCTTTGTGAAGATTGTCTCAGCACGTTTAGATGTCTGGACCCAGCGGATGCGAGTCTCCTCTACGATAGATGAATACCAAATATAGTAAATGAGAGCGAGACACGTACGCAATAACCCGGGCCTATTCGTGGGGAGTGCAGCTTCGTTGACACCACACTCGCGAAGGTAAGCACGTAAGCGAGCGTCCGGCCACAAGAGATATGCAGCAGTGCGCGCGGAAACGTCGTTATATCTGGATAGGATATCAGGTATTTCAAAGCGCGTCGGAGTAATGGTACGGACTGTTTGTTGATCAAGCTCACCAACTCATCACGCTTTTTCTGCGCAACGGTTCTATCATCAGTGTATCCGTGTTCAGAAAGCCATCGACGAATGTCTGAGTCATTCCAAGCGTCCATACGCTGTCTGAGGACGAAGCGTAGTTGTCCCTGTAAAGCGATGAGGATCTGGCAAAAGATGAAGCGGACTACTTACTCAACCATCTTCACCAGTTCATCACGCTCTTTTGTGCGTCACTCTTGAGGAGACCATGCTCGACGAGCCAAACCTTTAATTCGCTATCAGACCAAGTACTCCAAACCTTGTCGTGTGAGGAGTAATAATACTTCTTCATCTCTCCAAGCAAGGTGGAGCGCGATGCGGTATCGGAGGGTGAAAGAAGGTTGCGAGATCAGCCATTCGCGCTTGAGAACATGTCAAGATAATCCACACTCCTGAAGTACGTAGATACATACCAATACGAGTCGCTCCAGGCGTTCCATACTGGCTCCACAGCCGTACGACAGTAGTTGTTAGCGAGCTTTGTGAGCTCGGTATGGGTGCTAGCCTTTCTAGCCTCAACTACTCCATGATCTTCGAGCCAAGATCTGAGACGATTATCATCCCAAGTTGAGTGGATGTAATCCTTGCCGTCGTCGAAAGCGCGACCAACATTCTGGGTAGCCTGAGCTACAATGCTGCTCGCGCTTTTAGATGCGTCATATAACGTATCCGTAGCATCGGAGTATGCCGAAGTGGCGGTTTCAGACGCAAGGGAAGAGTAATATGACGCAGCATCGGTATAGGAACGATATTTGTGTTTGGCAAGCAAAACAAGCGTTCGCGGGGTCCAGAAGGCGCTACCACGCCATGCTCGAGCAGAAACGCTCTCAATTTGCTCTCGTCCCAGATGTCGAAAGAATCTTCTTTCAAGTCCTGGAATGCGTGCTGGCATGAGTATATTTATCATAGCTCCATTGCCTGCTTGCGTCAGCGTAGTACTAGACTGTTCAGCAAAAGATGGGGGTGTAGGGGTAGGAGAAGCCCAGTTTACTGCTACGAGGTCATGAAGCTGGGATTGATCAAAATGAGAGGGGACCTTGATGTGATGGTCTTCAAGCCAGGAACGTAACTCGGAATGGGACCATTTGTCGTATTCGGGGTCAGAGCCAAACCAGCTCGATGCGTATGCCGAACCAATGACAAGAATAACATAGACTGAAGACCTGAATCGCATGTTTGTGTTGAGGGAGAAAGGGAGGATACCGACAAAACCTGGTACTTATATAGGAGCTCGTGACGTCAGTTCATGACGTCATGTAACAGAAGGCTCCAACTAAGTAAGGTAGACTTCAATCCAGTCTAACCAGTCCACTGTGTCCATTCCCCATGCGATTCCACCGCCTACTCCCCATACTCCATCATGGACGTACGGTTAGAGGACTCCTGCCGGAAAAGACTGGGTCGCAGGCGGATCTGCAGGGAACGCAGTGATGTGGTACACGCGCATAATCATCGTAATAACAACACCCGGAATATCAGCGACGTCTTGCTGGAAGGCGTCGGTTTCGCTGGAGGAACTGGAATAGAATCGTCTGGGCGCCGAGTCCATATCCCCAGCCAGCAGAAAGGCTCGTTGGCCTTCCGCCTCTTCTACGATGTCCACTTTCGCATGTTCTTCTACCGTCATGTTTGTCTGTTCGCTAGCAGACGTCGTGCTCGTGTCGATTTTAATTTCCTTGTTGCAGCACTGGATAGCTGAGAGTCGGGGCCAGAGTTGAGGATATCGCACGTGCCCAGCCTTCGAACACTCCCGTCTGCACCTGTACTGGCTTTTTGCAGACCAAGGGATGAATCGCGCAGCACCTGCACCACGTTTCCGTGCCGCCTCCTGCCAGTCAGGATTTGGCTTGGAAAGAATGACAAGGCGGTCGTAGGGGCTTTGGTCTTTGGCTTTTTGCTATTTACACTAGGTGATCAAGTAGCACATGCGCCTCTTGTGAGCCGTAGAAATGTTGACAGAGCGGAAGGAGACGCACCGCTGTGCACCAAACTTGTTGAAAGAAGTGATAAGCTCGTCCTTGAAGCGGTCGTCTTCTTCATCGCTAGAGTCAGGTTCATGTTTACACCCAACACCAGCAAACACGATCCCGCTCTCCTCTTCGTCGCTGGAATTCTCCGAGAGCTGAGAGTACGAGGAGAACTTGTGAGTGGGGAACCAGAAGCAAAGCTTGCGGCACTAAAGTGGTGATGAGGGAGTGCTGAGAGTTTGAATTTGTCACTGGCCCTGTCGTCTCGGCTGATGGGGGTTTGAGGACAGTGAGTGACAGTTTGGATATTGTCGTGCAAGATACAGTAAACGTCGACCTCGGATCATGAGAGCATTTGAAGGACACTCGGGGGCATATCAACTGTGTTGATATTTCTGTGGACCTGTGATCCCTGCGAACATGTCCATGGTTGTGAGGGTATATTCCATATGGTCGTGTATGTCTGCCTGCCACTGCATCTCAATTCAGCCAAAACTTTTACAAAGGGGTGAAACAAGCCACGACGCACCAGGTATATGTTACCCCTTAACTTTCTCTCTCCTTTGCTCTTGGACCTCTTTCTCAGCAGGCGAGAGCAATGCAACATATCGGTCCTCGTCGTACCGCTGTAGCCCATAAATGACCGTCTTGAGCAGCCCAAGGGTCCGCTTATACATCAAATAATATGCATCAGTTCCAGAGCTGTCAACACAAACAGAAACGGACACCTTGAAACCACTTTCATACCTGGCTCCATCAACACATCGTATTTCAGCTGCAATATCTTGTCGTGAAATGCATCCACCACCTCAAGTGCAGAATCCGTGACGTGGTCGAGCAGACTTTGAACGAGCAGATTGGGGTCTGCAGATGCACGCAGCCCCGTGTCAAGCTGTCGAAGACGCGTCACGATGGGACCTGCGAAGTCGACGAAGTCGGACGGCATGACAGAGATCGCTATGCCTGTGCCAGGTAGAGTCAGCTATGATCATTCGAAATTGGGATACGGCTCAAACCAAGAGAAAAATACGCACAAAAGGCGGCATATGCGTTGAGATGAAAGCATATAATGACTCGATGGTGAATGTTGGCTCAAAATCGGGATATATGCACCGTAAATCATCATACACGTGGCACACCGGATGTGTACACCCCGATCGGCATGAATTGATACAAGTCAAGTAGGTCAAGGAGGAAGGACAGGATATGGCAGTAAATGAGTCCAGTGCTCACCATCTCAATAGAAAAATTGATATCGGGTGGCCGCAAACACATTCACGCGGCCTGCTTTTTTCAGATCAGTGAGAGTTATCTGAGCTTTCTCCGGGCGTTTTTGGGACTGTGCAGCGAGGACGTTACGATGAGTATGCCGTTGGTTTGGAACTGCATTGATTAAGAAGAGAGCAGAATGGAATAGAAAGCACTGTCGACAAAAGTGCAAGTCGAGATATGATGAATCGCGTTGCAAGTTGGAAAAAAAAAAGAAAATACAATAGAAAGTGGAGAAGTTGCGCTGGATTGTCCCCTGCAAGACATATGTAGTGTGATATGATATGCTGTAACATAACGGTACTTCATAGATCCTGAAACCGCCATCGATCGAACGCGAGTGAGTGATGATGAATACATGTTGTCGTTCAATCTGAGCGACGTTTTGAACCAAAAGCAAGTCGTCATAGGGGTTAAGAACCCAGATGTACAAACAAGAGTCAACAACGCGTTGCATTCGCGTCGTCAGTTCTGAAGTTCTACTCATTCATTTTGACTATCATGCATGCCACGACGTCTGCCAAGGTATGTCAAATTTCAAGTCAGGCTCGTACAACAAGTATGTTTAAATTTCTGTATAGAAGCAAAAGGAATACATCGATAAACTTCAGGCAGAAATTGATGTCCTACAGAAGAGGATAGGGTTGGAGTAGATAATTGAATCCGACGAAACGCGCTGACCCCTTTAACTAATTACAGTGAGGACGAGAGTGCCGAGGCTATCGTATCAAGACACATAAATCTATTGCACCGTTATAATGAAGCCAAGGACGCTACTCAGGTTTGGCCACCATGTCCTGATATCCTGCAAGCTAACGCTCTACATCAAAGTTATTGATAGGAAGGGTATTAAACTCTACGAGATCCTTTAATGTTTCCATGAGATGCTCATATGCTGTAACAGCTCGCTGCTTTGAAGGAAACCACCGTCCGGCAAATTCATAACGACATGGACCTCTTGGATGACCAGTAACCTCTGCCCCTGCATCTTCAATAGTGGCTGTCTTTCTGTCCCGCATACATTGTGTTTCAAGTTCCAACATAGCTGTATATCTGTTTGTAACAATGTCCAATACTTGAGCAATTCTTGCGTCCAGCGCACATTTTCGCTTCCCGCTCCACCGTCGCCCTGCATGGCATCAACACAAATGTTCCTGGTAGCTGGGTCGACCACCATTGAAAACAGCTTACATCCAATTCACCTATATTTGCGCAACGTGTTCATACACGTCCGTCATTGCTGCTCTCATTGCCAAGTGCATCCCCGGCCTCCACTTCCAACGGCCGAGGGTGAGAAACTCGGTCTTGAGTCGGGAGAAGTCGAGGCAAGCCTTGTCATACTCTTGATTTTCTGTCGTTCTAATAAGAGCCCAAATCGGTGAATTTGCGAACGACTACATCGTGACTTCATGGACTGGACAGCATTTGGCGACGGTATAGGTGCACACCGGCCCAGCGCCGCTGGTAACAGATACGACCAACCAGACCTCGTGCAACAGGATCAACGACAAAATTTACGCGCTGAAGAACCAAGTCCCGATAGTACTGATGAGAAGTCTCTTGAGCTCCCCCAGGCCGACGAGACCTCTCCTTAATTGCAGATATATTTTAGCATCTTCCTTCGTCTGTCATTTCAGTTATTGCATGAACTTGCCTTTGCTCTCTTTCCTATCCCTATTTCACAGCACAATATTGGGAGGGACACATTGTTAACCTTCTTTACTTCACTTGGCTATGGCGCATCCCAAGAAGGGGGTGTATCCACATGATAGTACATATAGTCATTCAAACATCTACTACTGATGTCCTCACTACATCATGATATCACTACCCGTGCAGCCAAGACAGTCGTGCCTCATATTAGTATGGACAGATCAGCAGTCTAGTTATCTAGTACCGATATCCAGCCTACATTCTATTTTAAGGAAAGGAATGATAGCAATGAAATCGCCCTGCTGGTCCGGTGGTGGTGTCACTACAGCGTTAAAAATCAGGATCTCCAGGGGACATTTTGACCGTTCCAGAAACGCCTCCAACTCCTGATGGGGGACGACAAAAATCATAGCGAATCTCGAGGGTGCGCAACTTGGGGAGCGTGAGTGCATTGAACAGTACAGGGAGCGGGTTAGATTCAAAGTATCCGGGACAGATTATGCACAATGATTGAATATTTGCGTGTGCGAATCTCATGCACTGAACTCGAGGGGACATGTACGCTGGTTGACCTAAGATGAGCTCGCACGAGGAGAGGCTGGGACATAGAGCGAGGAAATGGAGCACATTTCGTGGACGAATTGCGATTTCGACGTGTGTCAGGTGGGCCCATACAGGATTGAGAGAAAGTAGACAGTCCGGGCCGAATGTCCGGTCTAGGATCTTGAGCTACGCACAGTAGATGGCAGTTGAGAGAGAGATTGTGCAGTGGCTGAAGCATCGAACCAGTCGCCAAAGCATACGGTAAGCTCCTGAAGTGCTGCAGGGAGGTCTGTTAGCAAATATTCTGGTTCTACGTCCCAGAATGTGATATCAAGAGATGAGACTTGGTTCATGTAAGGCTGAACAAGGCGTCGTAGTTTGGCCGTCCCACCTTTGGCGTAACCAGGGCAGAGTCGTAATGAGAGTGGACAGTCTTGTGATCGCTTGAGCCATGAATCATAGTAGAAAGCTGACCGCTTCCATTCTTTGCGGTCATCGTCAACGTAAAAAGAGAGTTTGCACCACAATTTGGCCGAGCCCATAGCAACATCCCTCCATTGTCGGCATACCCTGGCCAACTGCAAGGGAGACGGATCTGATTTGCGGCTCAAATAGTTGCTGTCCATGAGATAGTAGTCAAAAATCCCGGATAAGACGTTATCTGGCAGGCGCCTGAGAGCCGATCCAAGTCCCTTGTCCAGGTTCGCCGATTCAGTAATGGTCCTGTTTGTCCACAAGCTGCTGGCCAAGGTCTTTTTCTTTATCCCTGACGGAATCAACGAGATCCAAAGCCTTGTGCGAGACCACAACCAACTCTTGATGTCGTTCGGTATTGATATCCTGGTCATGGAGCTCCAGGACAGAGCAATCAAGCTTTGGCTTCCTGCAATGCAGGGGACCGAGGCCTGGAATCTGGTCCATCGTCAATATGACATCAGATCATGCATCTGAAATAAACGATGAATAGACAGACTGGTATGACCACTCGTGAATTCATCTAAAATTGATGAGTATCATGACACACGAATACCTGTAATTTGCGGAATCGATCACTCACGATTTTTCGTGTTGTATCTGGGATGTTGAATCTTGAGTTGGCCGACATCTCCTTTACTGTCTGCATGTTACTTGCTAGAGCCGAGTGGAGAGAGAAGGTTGACTTAAGTATGTTCGAGGGGGACAAAGATCTTAGACAGTGAAATGAACAAAGCCATCCTTGTCGCTCCTTGCTGTTCTTTGTGTTAGGCAATACACCTGGAGTATAATTGATAATTGATAATCAACAAAACCTGGACCATGAAGTTGCGTTTTGGTTGGAGCGTTGTTAGCACTAGTACTATGTAGTACTTGCTAGCAAATCTGCATGGATTACATAATGTATGTTGCCGTGTCGGCACCCTTTCACAGATTTGTTACCAGCTGGCCAGCGTACTAACAATGGGGTTATCAGTCGACCAACGTTTTTAAGTTTTCAATGTTTTCCGGACTTTTCTCAACAACGGAAAAATGCCTCGCCAACGCAACTGTGAACTCAAGAGGACTCTCGGATCTCTCCCAATACTTCCACCTAGCCTGTGGCTATCTTCCTTCTGGACATCATTCGAGGTCTGGCTTGGGGAGACTTGATCCTGTTGTACTTGTATGTGGTGTACAAAATCTGCAGTGACTCTTTTGAAAAATCCCGGATCTTCATACAAGCCGCTACAAGTTTTGTCTACAACAATTCCTGCCTAGAGCTAGCTCTATCCAGTGATACATCTTCACTCCCAGAAAATCAACATTGATTACTTGCTCATTTACGGCAATTGAATCTCAATCCCGTCTGGCCTCATCACCTCGACCTGAGTCTGAGCGAAATGAAATGCGATCGTGGCTAGGATATTCAGTATCGAACAATTACTTGCAGCGCGAACAGCCGTCTCTTGCGGAATTCCAGCATGTATCCTGGACTGACCTCGAGCTCGGGTTGAAATCGAACATTGAACAGGTGGCGTTTACAGGCGAGAGTCTAGTGACGCTTTCTGCGTACCTGTGGTTGACCCGTGGGGGTCGAGCCCGCTTCTAGTAAGCGATGTTTGCGATTTAAGGCCATGCACGTGCACTGACGAATGACCCGGACGTTCGTTCATAATTCACCCCAAACAGATCTTGGGACAATCCATGGCGAATCTGCAGCACCAAACGTTCTTCTGGGGCGATTTGTGTCCTGTCACTAGTGAGTCACTACCCGAAGAAAAATTCCTTCGAATTTCATGTACTTCAGGCTCGTCTGTTCTTTAGATACTAATACTTGCCTACATGACCTCTTAGTGGGTGATGAAACTAGAGGAGGTGAATAATATTGTGTCATTTCGATCACAAAAGAGTACTGATTCGTGTACATATCAAGGCATTTCTGTCGAAATATTCAACGCTAGGCAATGATTCATTGGACGGCTGACTTACCACCGCGCCGCTCTTTCCACTGCTTCCCGTATAACATCTACTTCACTGAGTTGTGGTGTCGTCATCTTTATGTGCACCTGCTGGAGTAACCTCATTCGATTCAGGCTGACTGACACTATTGCCCACTGTTATATTCTCATCTCTGGTCCCCTTCTTTATTGGCACCCTTCCTACGTAGGCAATATGGATTGACCAGGCGGAAGCGATGAGGATAACAACACCTATCACAGACTGGCACACGCCGAACTTGGGTAGTGGGCGGAAGCAAAGGTGCAAGCCGTTGAAAGTGTTAAGTACGCCCATGGTAGCTGGAATCACAAGAACGTCAGCAGCCGCTCTTCTGGTTTAGCACGAACAACTCACCATAACTATAAGTCGCATATGGAACTGGTCAGTCTGACAAGCGTTGAAGTTACCAATACAGGACGATGCATACTATGTTCTCCCCGCCCTGCCTAGTTTTCCGTCGCTTGGACTCAAGGCTTTACGCGAGTGTGTCTGCGCTTTCGAACTCCACTCGGAAATACTGCTTCCAGCCTGCTTTGGCGCCACCAGTCGAAGACAGCACCAATAGCATCCGACAAGAAACACGCATGTGAGAAAGACGGTCCTCGCCCCGAGCGTGTAGACAGCAACATAGCAGGCATATGGCTCCAGTATTGGAATGGTTGAGCCAAGATAGATGAAAATGACTGTGATGCTGGCTTGCAATTTCTAGGTCATCGTAATCGAGAAGAGATTGACAATGACATTCACCAGACGCTATTGATGATATTAGAACTGTCAAGCGGTAGTGGTCAGTTTCACGTCACAAATTTCCTTTCTACGATCTGATTGCTCACAGGACAAAGATACCAGCACCGATGACTTTCAACACTTTCTTGACAGTCAGCTTCTCAGTCAACGGTGGAGGCTCGGGCAAGTTTGACATGATACTTGTTCGATTGTACTGGTGAAGGTCAAAAATGGTGCCAGGATCGGGACTGAGTGACATACTTATAACCCACACAGGAAATACACGCCGCCATGCGATAATGATGTGAATACTATTCTAGTCATCATTAATGCGAATCCCACGATGAGTCACACGTTCGGGTACAACGAGAATATTCTACTGTCCCAGTGGCTGCAGTGACAGGCAGTGCCTCGTCTCGTCTGACAAAGTCTGTACCTTCACCTTCCTGCTCTTCACGCCTAAGATGCAAGTCGTAAATCCAATTGCTACCACCATATTTCACCTGTATGTCCACTATATTCAATGAGCTAACTCTAACTGGCGAGCTAAATTTTGATGCATGTAGCCTCCGCACCGCGGCAACGCTTTGGTGGGTATCTTCCATGGAGAACTGCAAATATTTCTTGCGTGTAGTTTCTGACTTTGCAAATTCGCTGTAGCATGGGATTATTTTCCTGCACCTCGCTCGTAGCGAGCCCAAGATCAAGTACTATGCATTCTATGCTGGAGCACACGCCATCGTGATGGGCGCTCTTGGGCTGCTCGCCTCAAGAAGCATTTATCGCAATGCTCTTGCGAAGAAGAATGAGGCAACGAAACCCCAGTCGAATGCGGAAACTGCGCACGAAATCACTGGGACGGAGGGCGTTTGGGAAGATGAGAAGCCT